CACACACACACAGCCACCATCCCTGCAAACTCAATCTCACCAGGGTGCCGTTGGACAGCCGACTGCAGTGGCTGTTCGCGCCGTCGGGTGGCGCCACCTTCTGGTGTCGTCGGAAGACCTCTGCAAGGAGCGGCGACCTTGGCAGGAGGTCGACATCCTTGAAACCGAGCAAGGTCGCGAGCTCATCCCTCATGTTGCACTGACTCGCCTGCAATATAGGATCACGATGACAATACAATCTTAAATATAACTTAATATTAAATAATGCAATTTAAAATATAACATGAATGAATCCGGCCATACGGTGAGTTGTGCCGATCACGCCATATTAGCGTGGAGTGTGTCGAGTTCAATCTACTTTTGACAAATTGATGCATCCAGAAATGAGGATGAAAGCATGCGTTACCCCGCATTCTGGATCAAACACGGAGAGCGTGCAATCAAGGTTGAAGAAGACCAAGAATTCTCTGACGAGCGAGACTACCGTCTGACCTGAAACGCAAGCAGATGACGGCAAAATTATCTCAATCTCACGTGTGACTAAACCGACCAGGCTCTCCAACTGTTACACGTCATAGGACCTCTCGCCAACGTAGTGTTAAGCGCGAAGGGAACTTGTGGCTAACATGTGACGTAACTCGTAAGTGTGTTATCGGTGAAATTCACTGAATAAACATGATCTAGTATCTACGGGCTTCAGGCACCACGATCACCACGTTTTGGCCAACAAATGCATCATGCATATAGCATTACTAAGACACTAACCATCTTTTGAGCTGAGATATTCCACTAGAGGCTTGTTCATAAACGGCGTTCGATTTTCTACGCGTTCTTGTTCTTCTAAAGCAAGAAACACACTTGCTCTCAGCTGTGCCTGCAAGAGGTTGTTAAAGTTTTATAAGCAGTTGGATGAGCTCCAAAAACAGGGAGGAATAAACCTGGGACGCTTTTGGAAAACAAGGAAAAGGTTGCTCCCAGCAAAGGAAAATAAAATGTTTGGAGTGGAAAAAAGAGGGGAACCAAAAGTAAAGTTGGAAAAAGTCAATGAAATTAAAGGAGCCTACGTAGAACACTTTAAAGAATTATTAAGTACCAAGACTCCAGTAGGAGAGAAAGAATGCCAACTCTTTAAATCAGTAGAAAGAATGTTTCAGAAAATAAGAAATATAAATAGAAGAGTCGAGGATAGTGAACCTAATATGAACGAAATTCAGGAAGTGATAAATTCACTAACAAGTGCCGCGGAGCGACAGCGCTCATCTAACGTCTACTGCGGTGACTCTGTGGTGAAGTGGTGGGATTCTAGTAAACCCTGTTAGTCCCAAATGTGTTCACATACACGCCGAAACAGTCGAATGCACAGGGATGCAGGGTTCTCCCCAGGATTAAATTCAAACAGGGGGGAGGGGAGGGGTAGAGGGAGGGGGAGGGGGAGAGAGGGAAGAAACGTAGGGGGAGGGGGGAGGGGGGAAACTAGGGGGGTCCGGGGGGCGGTGGTAGTTTTACCGTACGACTAAGTTAATGCGTAAAATCGCCACCACACCATAGACGGTATTTGGGGTTCTTGTATATATAAGATAGCCGAGTCGGTTGTAACTGTTAGGAGGCAGGGTACTATTGTGTGCATTGTCAGGCATTAACCCTGTGTACTGTCTGCAGTGCATGCGTCGTACGTAAAATACACAGCGTCGATGTCCTGAGTCGAACGGCAAATTCTTGACGGTCGATTCCCGAGGGCGCTGGCAAACTTTTATTGTGGATGGAATTTAACGAGGCGCGAGTAATTTAAACCGGGCGCAAACAATCTCAAGCACAGGGGGGAGTTTTCCCAAAGCGGGGCGCGCGGCCGCGTTTGCGCAACGTAGGAGAACCTGGGATGGTATCAGAGAACGGGCTTCTCAAAAGAATGTTTCGTTGGGATCGTTATGAAGTTTGCCACGGAGATGGCGCGTTAACGGTTTAAGGTGTCCTTCAGACTTAAAGGATGGAAGCTCGCCAGTCGTACGTATAGCACCAACTATTGTGCAAGACAGAATGAGGTAAGCCTCATTCCCATTTACCTACGCAAGGCGCTTAACAGGCTGCAGATAGAAGAGCGCCCGACGCTGTAACAAGTTAACGGCACAGGCAAAAACTACAACAGGTACCACGCGACCCACATGCAGTCTGGGCAGTGGCATACGTTACATTAAAGATACTGACAGTACAGAATGCCATAGAAACTATACGATTTAAGGAGCATAAACCTTCTTCAACCAAATTTAGCTTTTGAAATTTCACTGTGACATTGTAGCCTCGTACATCCAGGCATGTATAGATTCTACTAGCAAACCCGGCAGTCAAATTCTTTCTAACAGTAGGCCCTAAACAAATCCATGTTTAACCCTCCTCTTGAGGGTCAAAAGGTTATCCGACACTTACTCTTTGCATGTCAGCAGAAGGGACATTTCATGGTCCTTTCAATAAAGCCATAAAAATGCTAGGTCACCGCTGAAACAAAAAAGTTTTTCAATCGCTCCGTCAGACCATGTCCTCAGAAAATGTTTAAAATCTGCCATGTGCCCATTGACCTTTGACCTGTGACCTCCAATTTCGGCACAGTGATGGCTTTTCCTACCATGATGCTATATACCGACTATCACGAGCCTAGGTTGAGCCGTTTAGATTTGTGCCGCAATTCTGCATTTCCTTCCTATACCTTAAAAGTTAAGGAGTGAATGTTCCCTTCTTTTACACCTCTTGACCTTTGACCTTTGACCCCCAGCTTCGACATCCCAACTCGTTTTGACGATCCCCCCCGATGTGCCGAATATCATGACCGTACGGCGAGCGGTTAAGATTTGTGCCCAACTGTTGACGGACGGACGCACGCACGCACGGACGGACGATCGTGCGATTCTACAAGCTGCATCTGACTATGTCAGATGAGCTAAAAAGGAACAAATCCCCAGATAACCAAGGCTTAATGTACGAGTTATTAATAAATGCAGGGGACGACCTAAAAATGTCACTGAAAATTATGATAAACTTACTAATGCAAAAGAGAAGTGTTCCTACAGAGTGGAATGAAATGACTATAAAAGCAATTTACAAAGGAAAAGGGTCAAAGGAGGACCTTAAGAATACTAGAGGCATCTTCTTAACGGATATTATGAGTAAAATAGTAGAAAAATGGATTTGGTATAAAAAACAGAAAGTAATCAAGAGATGCACAAACCAGTGTGATGGGAAAAAAGGTTATAGCACCACAGACCATCTATTTGTTGTTAGAGCAATAATAGATAAAAGTAAGAGTCTCAAGAAAACATACTCTTGTTCTTTGGAGAGATCCAAAAATGTTTTAATAAATTATGGCTAAAACAGTAAAACTTAAAGACTGCATGATTGACCTGTGGTTTAAAGGATTAAATTTTAAAAGGACCTTGTTGGGAAATAATATACAAAATAAATGAGAAAACCACAATAGCAGTTAAAACACCTGTAGGACTATCTGAAACATTCGAAATAGATTAAATAGTGCGTCAAGGGACCGCGCTAGGCCCAATATTATGTTGTATCACGTTAGACCAAGTACATAATTATGGTACACCGGTCTATATGTATGGGAACTCAATAGAAATCACGCCTCTTTTATATATATGGATGATATCCTGGGAATTGGAAATTGGGAGACTATGACAAAAATGGCACAAGCGTGTACTAGGCTGGCGGAAGAAAAATTGCTACAATTTAATATGAAGAAAACAAATATATTGGAAATAAAATTTGGAGGCCCAAGTAGCAAAGGAAAACAGATTCTTCTCGGAGATAAAATAATAAAAAGATGTAGTGAATATATACATACTTAGGCGAGATTTTAAGTGAAAAAGGAGGATATAAAGAAATGATAAAACAAAGAACAGAGAAAGGTCGATTTATGATGAGTGAAGTCATATCTATGGCTATTATTGGCTAATCAACAAAATTTTGGAAACTATGCGATGGAAGCACGTGTTAAACTTTACGAATGCACTGTACTGACTGTAGTGCCGTCACTACTAAATAATAGCAAAACTTGGACTAATCTCACTAAGGAAGAGGAAAAAATGGTAGAGGATTTCCAAAATGAATGTTTAAGAAGGATACTCCAAGTGCACAGCAAGACACCACTAGAGGCACTAAGAATAGAAATGGGAATAATACCAATAAAAGATAGGGTTATAAAAAGTTAATGTTATTGCAATACATTATTAAGTTAGAAAATGATAGATTAATGAAAAGAGTATTTTTAGAACAAATTAAAGAAATTGGAAGTAATTGGGCAAATGAGGCTCTAGAAATCTTGAAGGAGTATGACATAAGTATAAAGTATGTCACTTATGACTATTGGTTCGCAACATAAGAAAGAATGGAAAAAATATGTGAAGGAGACTATTTTAACAACTGCCGCGGAGCGACAGCGCTCATCTAACGTCTACTGTGGTGACTCTGTGGTGGAGTGGTGGGATTCTAGTAAACCCTGTTAGTCCCAAAAGTGTTCACATACACGCCGAAACAGTGGAATGCACAGGGATGGTATCAGGAACCTTCTCAAAGGAATGTTCGATGGGATCGTTATGAAAGTTGCCACGAGATGGCGCGTACGTTTAAGTGTCTTCAGATTAAAGATGGAAGCTCCCATCGTACGTAGTAGCAACAACTATTTGCAAGACAGAATAGGTAAGCACTCATCCATTTACCTACGGAAGCCTACAGGCTGCAATAGAGAGCTGCCACCTGTAACTAATTAACGCAGGCAAAAACTACACAGTACCACTGTACCGGCGTATTTGGACGCTCGCCCGAAACTGGACGCTCCTAAGTGCGCATGCGCGCAGGCGCCTCTTGTTTTGCAAGGGCGCACACAGCGCATGAGCAATATGCGCAGTAGTCTACTACGAGCGTACACCGGCGTATTTGGACGCTCGCCCGAAACTGGACACTCATAAACTCTACTCCTGATAATGTTAATAATAATGTTAACAGGCTTTCCAGCAGTCCTTGACAACATTTTAGGGCTAATTTTAGGGAGAAATTAAGATTTTTTAGGGCTATTTTAGGAATTTTTAGGGATGAATCGAAACATTTTAGGGATAAAATAAGTCACTTACCTTTCATAAACCTCAATCGTGTTAACTGTACCAGATACAGTTCTATGTGGTCATGTGCCAGTCTACCAGCTATTCCTATCCTCCAAGTCCGCCGCTACGAATGTACATCATCAAGTGTATATAGGCAAATTAGGCAATTGTCTTTGTACATTCGCAGCCAGGAACAGGTCGTCATAATCAGACACTGAAGCTTAGGAATCACTGGTAGATCTGAGAGTCACAATACTTACTCTGTATAAAGATAGCTAGAAAAATCATCCATTAGCAGGGTCTCAAACCGCTGTGAACTCCAAATGCGGTATGTTTCCCGTGAGTATTTCAGTAACCTAGTGGCGTATTAGAAATGATGGGGAAGGCCGAAAATTTACGCTTGCTCCGCAGGCAGGCCGCGGCGCCGTAGTGCATGCCAGTGGTAGGGGGGTCTAAGGGCATGCCCGCCCCAGAAAATTTGAAAATATTTAAGCCATTTTCCTGCAATCTGAAGCATACTGTGGGCCATATTCTCATTCTGATAACACTATCTTCAACCTCTACAACCCTTGTCTGATTAGGCAGATCAAACTACCACGCGACCTTGCAGACAGCGCATGTCTGACTAGGCTATTGCCATTTACCGTAGACGATGCCAGATAAGAAAATGGCCTGAAAAAAACAAGTGATCGCAAGACTCCAGGACAACGCATACAATCAGTGCAGAATTTTTGTACAGTGGCAACTGAAAGGGAATAAAACCTTGGCCGTCTGC